CGACATCATCTCCAGTAATAATCATGTCATCAACATAAAGAAGTAAAAGAACCATACCCCGAGTAGTCTTACGAATGAACAAAGCTGTATCATGTGGACTGGAAGTAAAACCAAACTCACTCACAGTAGCACTAAACTTTGCATACCATGCTCGAGAGGATTGCTTCAACCCGTATAATGCATGGCGCAATTGACATACCTTGTTTGGAGGATGGTGGAGCCCAGGAGGTGGTTTCATATAAACTTCTTCTTCTAGGTCACCATTAAGAAAAGCATTTTTCACATCCATCTAAAACAATTTCCATCTCCGTATAGCACGATAGCAAGCAAACTGCGCACAGATGTAAGACGAGCAACTGGAGCAAATGTCTCTTCATAGTCGATTCCATACTCCTGTGTAAAACCCTTGGCAACCAAGCGTGCCCTATAACACTCCACAGAACCATCATATCACGTTTTGATCTTGTACACCCATTTACAGCCTATTAGAGATTTTTCAGCAGGGAGATCAACTAAATCCCATGTACGAGTGTTCTCAAGAGCTTGTAATTCATCTTGCATAGCTTGTTGCCAAAGAGGGTTAGAAGAGGCCTCTTGATAGGATTGAGGCTCATGTAACGAAGTAATAGCAAGAAAACAATGATAATCACGAAGGTAGTTTGGAGGCTTTCTTACCCGAGTAGGATGACTCGAGGATGGGACAACAAACTCATTTGTAGACAAGGAAGTAGAAGAAGGCTCAAAATTATCTAATGCATTACCAGTAGGCAGATCATCTTTTATAGAACTGGTTGGAGCATGTGGTGAGGCATTGTAGAGCTCATCAGATGTACCTGCATTAGAATCACTAGGAAATAGCTCAATAGAAGGATTAGTAAAAAATAGAGGTTGATGAGAGGATGACACTTTGAAGTTTGACAATGATGAAAACATAGTGTGTTCCCAAAAGACAACATGACGTGAAACTCGGAGTTTTTGTGACACAGGATCCCAACAATGATATCCTTTTTGTGTAATCCCATAACCAAAAACAATATAATCTAGCTCTAGGTTCTAACTTGTTATGTTCATGAGGTGGAAGAAGAACAAAACATGCACAACCAAAAACCTTAAGAAGATTATAAGCAGGAAGAATACCATGTAGACGCTCATATGGAGATTGGTTATTAAGGACTGATGATGGAATGCGATTAATAAGATAAGCAGCTGTAAGAGCAACCTCACCCCAAAATCGCTCTGGACAAGAAGATGAAATGAGCAGAGCACGAACAGAATCAAGGATGTGTCTGTGTTTACGTTCGGCTCACCCATTTTGTTCAGAAGTATAAGAACAAGATTGTTGTGGCAGTGTACCATATTCTTTAAAAAAAGATTGAAGTTTAGTACCAAGATATTCAGTAGCATTGTCAGTTCTCAAAACTTTGATAATTTTAGAGAAATGGGTTTTGACCATAGTAGCAAAATCAATATAAATTTGTGATAATTCAGAGCGACTTTTTATAAGGTATATCCAGGTAAAACGAGTATGATCATCAATAAATAACACGAAGTACCTGGAACCCCCCATGGTGGGTGTAGGAGATGGACCCCGAACATCAGAATGCATAAGATCAAAAGGAGCAGTAGAATGAGAATGACTACTCAAAAAAGATAAAGCTGGTTGCTTTGCAGATTGACATGACACACAATGCATAGATCCATTCGGAACTGATCCTAATAAACCACGAGAGATAAGTGGACGAAGTTTACCGACAGAGATATGTCCGAGTCGTGAGTGCCACAAATGAAGAGGAGAAATGTTAGTAGCAGCATAGACTTGGAAGATTTGTTGATATGGAATTTGCAAAGACTCTAATTCAATAGCACAAAGCAGGGTTTGGATGAATGGATCATTTGGAAATGATGGTGTATCCATTTTATTATCAGGAATATGCAGATAGTTGAGCTCAAACAAATGCCCCACCTTGCGACCAGTTCCAAGAAGTTGTCCTGTCCGTGGGTCTTGCACACAACAACCATGAGCAGAAAATGTTACTTCAAGACCAAGATCGCATAATTGACCGACAGATAGAAGATTATAACTAAGTTTTGGAAATAAAAAGGCATTTGGTAAAGTCAATGACTTTGTAGAAACATTACCAATGTAACTAACATTCATAGGGGAACTATCAGCAAAATAAATATCAAGAAAGGAATTATTAGGTGACATTAAAGAGAAATGAGCAGTAATTGAAGACATGTGGTTACAACAACCAGAATCGAAATACCAAGGTTTGGTACCCGGAGCAGTAGATAAGGCAGTAGGAGTATTAAAAAGATTTAATATCACCTGTTTTAGGGATTCAAGGTTGACATTAGGTTGTTCTATCACTTCTTTGGCAATCGTAGCAGTAGCAGGATGAGTTACAATCCTTTCAAAACTCGTCATAGAATCAGTAAACTCACAATAGTGAAAAACTCTAAAATATGGAGAAGTAGATGCCAAAATCGAAATAACAAACCAACAAAATACCTCAGAAAGGGTCTGAGAATCGAGGATAAACAATCCAATCTGTATGAGAAGAGATCCCAATGACAAAGTTTCAGATCTGGAATGGAATTGAAAATCCAGCTCTAAAAAACCCAACAGCGATGATAAGAGAAAAGAACCAAGAGCTTATAACTCTGATACCATGTTAGAAACTGAAAAGAAGGAGAAATATCTAAAGAAATGTTTATTGCTTTCTTGAATTATATTGTATGTACAATGACGTATATATATGTGTTTACAAAGAGAATATTCTAATGTATAAATATACAAAGAGAATATTTTAAAATATAAAATATTTACAATAATTCTAAATATACTTATGTTAACATCTTAACACTTCCTAACAGAATCTGGCCTCATCTTTCCCACAAGAAGTTGGAACGATTATTTGCTCCAACTTCCCTTTTCTTCTGCCATTCCAACGGCCATTCAGCCAAATTCACCATTTTCCCTTGGAAAAGTTGGATATGTTACAGGTCTTGCACAAAATAACTTCAAATAGGACGATCCCAAAACAGGTTTGTAGAAGTCGCTGGGCGGTGAGCCACCGCCGAGCGCCCAGGGCCGCCCAGACTCAACCGAGCGGCATTAGTCTTGGTTATATATATATATATATATATTTAGAAAATATGAAAAAATCTAGAAAAAAAAATAAAATACCAGAAAATGATCGGGAAAAATCACAAAAAAACTAACCGTCCGACTCAGATGAATGGAGATATGAAATTGAAAACATTGTTTGTATTATATTTGTTGGGAAGGGTTTCTTTTGAAAATTATAAGCTGAATTGAAAAT